AGGGTTTAAAGGGGTTTAGGGGTCAAAACATTTTTTAGTGTTTAGAATTTTAAGATATAGAGTTTAAAAATCTATAATTAGTGGCATTTGCGCAAATGAACATCTCTAAGTGGCAGTTTTGCAAATGTTCACATAAAAAGTGGTATTTTTACAATTTTTACCGGTTTTTTGAAAAGACAAAATAGAGATTTTTCTCCCTTACATCAAAATTATCATCTACGAACATGATAATTTTCATGTGCTACATAGAGTACATAGAATCTAAGCACTTGATTAATGTTACACCAAAAGTAGATGTGGAAAAGGGTGAACCAAATAAAATGTGAATATGAGACATCCTTTTCTTGGGCTATATTTAGGTAATTATATCATTTTGGTGTCATTGTATTCTTCTTTTCTTCAATTCCCATTTAATTCTTAAGGGGGTTTTGAATGTGTGTGTGGGACAGGAAATTTCCTTTTATTTATTATGAAACGTTTCCTTTGTACTGTGTACAACGGAAGTTAGATTGAAATTAAAATTGATATAGGACGATGCATGTACCCACCACGGTCTTTTCTCACATCACGCATCATCCAATAATTGTTTTGTAAATCAACTAGCTAGCTAGGATCCGATGTTATAGTTTCCTCGACTAATAATCATGGATTCAAGAAAATACAATATGCTAGTTAAGTGTTTCAGTTCATACATAACTAGAACTGTAAACACGTCCTTTAAAGGACCATCATATTAAATATTTGTGATTTAAGACAAGATTAATGTTTCTACAACTGTTAGGAAATTAAATATTGTGGTTAATACACCTTTAACGTCAATAACATAACTTGTTTTGTTCGTATTTCTCAACTTGTTTTGTTCAACAAATGTTTTTTTTTTTGGATAACTTGTTCATCAAATGTTATTTGTTTGTTTAGGTGACAAATTGCTCTTAAGGATCAAATGTTATTTGTTGGTTTAGGTGACACATTGCTCTTAAGGAAATAGATGTGGCTATTTTGAGTCCATATTTTTTATCCATCTAATTATTGCGAGATATATTATTGGAAATATTTAGGCTGATGTCTATTTCTTGTCAGAAACTGAATTATTAAATATAAACACATCAACATTCGAACAAGTAAAAACATTTATTTGGTTTGTCTTATTGTAGATAGAGTGGAGGCAACAAAAAACAAAAATCAAGAAAAATGTAAATATGTTCAAGTAACTTAGTGGTGATGTTTTACTTGGGACCCTTTAGCGATCCGATTTAGATTTAAGTGTTAATGTTATTGGCGTGGACATTCCAGAATCAACCAAAATATGAAGAAAGAAAATAGAAAAGCATCGAGCTGACAAAAATGTTATTGAAATTTCAATTTTCTAACTACTTTTAGTTAGGGGTGTTCAAATACCGAATAAATCGATCCAACCGAATCCAAACTGTAACAACATAATCGATCCGAACACTGACCCATATTTTAGATCATATTGAAAATCATATCCACAAGCCATATCCATGCAAATTTAAATCATATTGAAAAAAAGGAGCCTAAATTTATTTGAGACGTAAAATCTGAACAATAGCTGAATCGAAATCTGGACTCAAACATCCCTACGTATAGCACGTTTAAAAGTTAAGAATGGTTTAACAAAGTGGTTTGGTTGAAAAAAGGTTCAATGATAATTTGGTGATATATATAGTAAAGTTATGAAAATAAATTTATGTATGAAAGGAGAATAATGTTTAAAATGAATTCTAAAATTCATTTTCTTTAAATACCTTGAGTAATTCTTTAAAAAAAGCAAATCAAATCTCTGATACAGATTAACAATGTGTGAAATTTGTATATTACTCGGTTTTAAATCAACGTTTCATGAGTTGTACACAAATTTTTGTAACACGTTCTTTTTCTATTAAAAAAAAGTAATATACAAGCTCACTCGTTGAGAGTTGTTTATTTCATCTGCATGAACTAGTTTAACCGTTAACATATGATGTCTATGGGGATTAACTATCATTAGGTAAACAACAACAAATTAAAAGAAGAAAGGAACTAGAGGCGTAGATCCAAGCTCACTTGGTCCGGTACATTAATCTTTGACTCGTAAAACAGACCATGCCTGCTCCGACCACCACCGACATACGTCGGTCTAGTCTGGTTATCACCGATCAACAAAGGCATATATCTATTGTAAGATGAAAGGTCACGATTAAAACTTCCTGATGAGCTATACTTACGACATAACCCTAATCTCTCACGGTTGATCCGAGCAGCTTCAAGGCTAAAGTGATCGTCAAAGAACCTAGAAGCAGCAAGGTGGTCTTGGTGTCGGTGGAAGAAAGCGGCTGCGTTTGAATGGAGGTTGAAGCGTTTAGTTTGTTGACGCTCTCTCTTATGTGCGTTTTGATGGCCGCCTAGGGCTTGTGAAGTAGGGAAGTTCCGACAACAATAGTGGCACTTGAATCTC